TCATCACTGACACTCCTGTCGTCTATGTCACTTCCTGTCTTTATGTCTCGCGATGCATCGCGATAGTTGATTGTAATATGAATAGATCTCGCGTTATTTTGTGAAATACAATGAAAATGTTGTTGCTCAGCAACGTTTACTCGGTACGATAAGAACTGATAACCTAAACAAACGTAGCACGCATTACTTCAAAAGAAAACACCGCGTTGCGAGTCTGTTGTATTACTAGTCTGAGATATAAGTAACACCTTTGAAACAGTTGTATTATGATGTGTTTGCATATTGCCTTAATTAACTCGGATACTACATTATTATTATTCCTTAACAAAGCAAGTCATAAAAGTAAATGTCAATATCATATTAACGAACTGACGAAGAATCTAATCGAACATAATTGAAATTTTATAGAAATAACATAAATAAACTCTATTTTTCTTTATATACAATAACAATTATAATTATTAGTTTGCCAAATTGATTATTTCTGCAATTTCATACATTGAAGTAACAGTTCCTTAGTATGCATTACATCACAATAGTAATGAATAATGCACATATGATGAGAGTAGTGCCAGTCAGTCTCCAGGCTTTGTTCTTCTTATCTGTATGCAAATAGAAACACAACGATATGATTTACAATTCCAACCTCTCCTTAACCCGTGTATAATAATAGCACTGATGGTTCACAGAAACTTAATTGTTTACGGGACTTTTGTGTCTTCGTATATGTTTTGTTTGTGTCATAATCAGTACAAGGGGTTCATGTTTGAGTAGCATCCGTGATGTCGAAATCTACATATTATGATCCCAAGCTGAAAGCAGAGCACCCTGATATGGTATGTATTCATTGCGAAGCGTGGAAACGTCAATTGTGTTAATGGCTTGAGACATATCATTAAAAACTAAACAAGGATCGTCTATTTAGATTTGCATGGCATTCTGTCATGAAGAGTCACAGGGTCTAAGAATCGAATCCATGGAATGAATGGTTTTTATTTTATAATTAAGCCCATTTAGATAATTACTTCCTATTAGAGCGTATATATCAGATTACCCTGTCAAAACTTGTTATGAATAATATTGTTTCTGTTCAGATAGCAATGAAGTATTCTTGCAATTTCAAAATAAATTAATTTATCTTTTGTGGCATCAAGACAGAATGATTATGCATGTTGAAATAAATGACATGCTATGAGAACGACCCCTTTATTTAGTGGAAACTCTCAAAAAACAAAACTTAAAGAGGCATGTTTTTTAAAATTCCCGTGTTTTGGAAAATATTGACGAACGCGTACTATAGCAGTTCTATTTTGCATCATTCTTCAACATACATTATGAACTATTCCTTCTCTTTGTCGAAAATGCATGTTTTAATAAGTTTGTAAGTTGGGTACAGGTATTGTAAACTGTCAGTTGATCTAAACTGATATATCCATGTGTGTAAATATATAATTTGTTTCTAATTTTGATAAACAAGTATTTTACTGTATTACCTGGTGGCAATATATGAAACTCTCTCGTTCTGTTTTTTTTCAATAATTTTACATAATGAATAACATTTAGCTGGCATTAAGCACAAGAGTAATAACATATTAAGAATAATATTCAACTGGTAAAACTTGCCTGCATCCACATCTACGTACTTGTTAGAAGTGGTGTTACGATTTGAAGAATGAGTTTTTACAGTCAGGGTCACGAGCTCTGAAAATAAAATGTACAATTATTCACGCCACAAAGAATGTATACGTTTTTAATATTGTGTTATCCTTCAAAATAAACTATATTGGTTTCATATAATATTTCTTATATATGTTTGTTTTATATGGTTGAAATACTTATAATAGGATTCTTAGAAGCATGTGTAGACCAATGGTTAAACTAAGTTTTAGTTTACAACAAATTCCGCACAAATTATCGAACGAAATTATTAAATACGACGAAACAGAACAACTGCATAAAAGTGATGGTTTGTCGCCAAAAGTGGCGTGAACACTTAAAATCAATACGCCACTTGTGTAGAGTGACTTGGTGCGTTAATTATTGAGTTACAACAGATCCCCTGAGATATGACTTGTTCGACGTGCGATCAAAATCTACCCATTGAATGAATGGCATCGAAGAACAAGTAAACCGTCCGTAAACACCGTGTTGAGGTAAGTATTTGGAGCCCGTAAGAATGAGCCCGGGAATGAGTAATAAAATACAGATATAAGTCCGGTAGTATGAACGGTGAGGCTATGATTAGATTTGTTACATTATTGGTGTATCTAAAAATGGACAGTGAATCTGTGTGTTAGAATACTTGGGTAATACCCGGTGGACGGTTTGGAGGAAGACTGAGAAATTACATGAAACTTCTTTAACAATTGTATTTGTGTCTGTAAAAAAAATACGTAGTGTTCGTCTTAGCTATTTCGCTTGCTCACTTTACATTTTGTGTTTTGAATACGGCGATAATTTCGATCATTTCTGTTTAAGCAATCAAACATTTTGAAGCGTTAACTGTGTTCTGTGTCGCTATTGAGTAAAACAACAATATTGCATATTACCGAATATGGATATCATTGATAAATTTGTCTATTCAAAACTCACATCCAGGTTCAGATTGTTAAATTATTATGTGGTGCGAAATTTTCTAAAAGTGCTACTGTATAAATAATCAATTATAGAGGAAAAATGAAAATTTAAATTCCTACCACTATTTATATTCAATAGTTATTCAGATAAAGACTATATTAAATCTCTCTATCCGTGTTTAATATATGTACAATTTTAAGTTTGTTCTACTCATAATAAAACTCTGAAATTGATTGAAAGATGAATGACATGTGCCTTATTGTTAACTAAAGCAAGATGTCAAAATAAACATCAGATCAGATATATGCTATAATACCTACCCTCTCTCTTATCTCCAGTGGTGCCTTCTAACATGGTGACATCATCGTCATCTGAAGTTTCGACCACTGCGGCATCTTCATCAGTGCTTACTTAATTAAGAAGAAGAACTTAAATAAGCAAGCAGTTATCATAATGTTATGAAACAGATCATAAAATAACGATTACCAGTTTATGTGGTACCATCATCGTTTGTGAGAATACAATAATGTGCGTGGCGGTAGTCTCTGCTAATAATTTACAATCACTATTCCCCGTTTATGTGTGTCTGATATTCCATTGAGGGTATAGTCTAGAAAGATTTAAGTTACGGAATTGGAAGCCTTTAATATATGGTGCACCGGACAACCTACTTCTGAAAACTGGGTTTTAACAAATATTAACACCAAATGTTAAGATGCCACAATGGCTAAGCGATGTGACGCTTACCTTCATTATATTCGTTAGCAACTTCGCTACCATCAGTGATTACACCATTGTCAGATATTGTGACGTCATCTTCACCTATATGACGTCAAATTTGAACAAAGTTATAAGAAAATTATATGAAAAATGTGTTTTCGCATTAACCTATATAAACATTGTTTCCGTCTCATCAAAAGAAAAGTCAAAAAATATTGCAATGTGTAGACTAATAGTTAGTATCCGATGAATTAATCGACTAAGCCAAAATGATATTACATAACATTCACGACATACCCCTTTCCATTTCAGTAACGATCTCAATTGTATTCTGAGAATATGTTAAACGTGTCCATGGTTCATCTACGTAAAATACAGTATATGAATCAACAAAATCATTGCATACTAGTATGCAAATGGTTCAACTAAACGTTCAAAAATATGTTGATGGTTTATAGATTTCATCAATGTGTTTAATTCAGAAAATGGTTTGGTGCAGCTACCCACCGTAGCGATTTGTTTCCAAATGCCGGCCATTTTGCGTACAACTGGGTAAAACTTTTAACGTATTGTTTTGAAAAGACCACAGGTGAGTTTCAGAAATTCAGTTATTCTCAGTGTAGATACCAATCATTGTTTTGACAAAGCATTAATCAATGAATACATTTACTTCAATTATCTACGTGTTTATATGCCATGCCATTTCGAATGAAAGTGTTACCTTCCAAATCCCCGTTGTCACTGGTACCTCCCTCCGGATCAGTGGTATAATCGTGGCCGCTATCAGCTAGGTATATCTGCTGAGATAACACATCGGTCCAAAACACGTCCACACTTTGAACAATGGTTGCCCTATCAAGAAATATACTTTGATTAACATCTACTAAAAAAAGCTTTGTTATTACTACCCTTCATTATTTATATTAATCATGCACTGAATCCTGGAGTACTGCAAGGCCGCTAATTTTGGTTATGTTCAAATTGTAACAGGTTCAATTATGTATTCTGTGTGGGTAATGATGGCTTGGCTTACTTCGCATCACTTCATAATATGTAATACCTTCGGGGCTATTTGGAATAATGTGTTGACAACTCTCGAGGACAATCATATTTTGTTCTTTTAAATAATTTTGTCTTCAAATACGTACACAAAATCAATTATTGTTCGTAGAAGTCACGTCAGTGTATTAAGGTAGCGGGACTATTATTTGCATACTTGTTTTCATCTTCTAATTGTGACTAAATGACTACAAATAGACCCGGGAAAGTATATATTTTTAGAATCGCCAGACTTCAAGCTTTTCACAAGTGTATTTTGCATGCCCGTATCTGCATTCTACGACGCGTTACTCAATCAAAGGTGAAACATTACTTTTTCTGTAAAAAAAAAAATTACGCATTTATGCTGGCGATAAGAAGTATTTTTTTCACTTTTCCTAGTTGTTCAATAGTCTGGTAAATTGAATGTGTCTGGTTAGTTTTATTCAAGCAACGCGTTTTAAAAAATAGTGTCCTGAATTTCAATTACTGTTTTAGTCGCATTGCCCCCAACTCAAACCACAACTCGTTGGTAAATAATCGATGAAATAGTTTGTCTGGACACATTCAAGTTCCTCTCATTGTCACCTTAAAGCTGTGAAAATTTGGTGTTAATCCGACGACAATAAGTATACGTTATTTTTTGTTAAAGACCTTGTATTTTGAAAAACATAAACTCCTAGAAAACGTCCATGAAGTAACAGCAAAGATTTTCAAGCTTGTTTATCGGCACAATCAATTTGTTTTCCCATCAAGGTCTGTTTTACCATGTGTAGGGACATACAAATGTGTAAGGCTATTGGAAACCAAAAAAATAAAGGAATGGGATAGCTATAATTGGATAAATTCGGCATATGAAAACACCAAAATCAATGATTTTTTTCAGTGGCTGTGTGACCATGTGTCTGACACATTCATATGCAAATGACTAATCTGTGAAACAAACAGGGGCGGAGACAAACCACTCAAATGTTTGGAAACACTCATTGTGTGTCAGATAGCTACTGATAACACATCCTAACATTGCTTTGTCTTGAGTTTATCTTTGAAACTTATAGGCACACAGATTAAACCTGTGTTGTTGATTTTGGAAAACACTACTGAGGCTGCCTTGCTTCCCTTCAGAAAATCTACATTTTAACCAACTTACATGACATTCTATGTTATATTGACTTTATCATATGAAAGTTTATGGTGCATTTCATCAATTAATAAATAAATTTGAAAATCGTAATTTTCAACACAAATAATAGTCTCGCTACCTTAAGGTTTCAACTCTAACACATGTGGAGGTCAGTTTTCTGACATAATTTCTCAATATTTACGAGAATGCAGCACCCCCGTCTATATCTTCTCAGTATATGCATATACTAACTAACTAACGTTAGTACCTTCCATGGTATATGAAAGTAAACTACTACTTACACAAATTCTACTGCACCTCCAGGAATACTGCCTGCCTGTGGCGCAATCCATGTAAATGTTATTCCGGTTTTTAAATTCGAGTTTGTATGAGTAAGACTATCGCGTTCGCTTGAACACGCAAGATGCTGCGCGCCATCTGGTGGTGGACCGAATGTTCCGACGGGTGTGTCACTCTGAGGTTCATGTGCCTGAACTAATATTCCACGGAAAATGTCGCCGGTAACTTCCACTGCAAGCAAATATTATCATTTCATGGTTATAGTGTCGAATGGCGGCAATACTAGGCCTGAATAAACATTGAAATTACTCCTATCTATTGTGACATGATGGCTTGGTATTGTTGACAGGAATCAACGGTCACAGCAAACTTTCCATCAGATCAGTTTAACCCGCAAACGACGTGAACACGGTCACACTTGTCGTTTTGTTGTTGTTGGTTTTGCACAAAGTGACGACCATCTCGGCCGCTTTTCCGCCATTTTGTGACACAGATTCAATTTTTTACCAAGTTACTAATTATTAAAAAGGACGTTCAAATGTTTACATTCATGCGACCGTATAAACCGCGTCAATATGTTTCCATTCGTCCAAGGAAAAGTGGGTCTCAGTGGAGTCGTCATTCATTGTTGTTACTACATTGATGTCACGTGATTCAACGCATGATCTCATATTTGATACTTGTTTCTTTCAAGAGAGTAAATAACATATTCGACGTATAAACCATAAATTCAATCTCAATATACAAGTTGTATACAGAAATTGTATCTACTTAGTTGGAAATAACCACTATTATATCCCCGCTATGACAACGTACAGTAAGCGGAAACTCGTACAGACTGCCACACCCAAATGCCTGGGGCGAGTAAAATGACATGTCTCAGTTTCAAATATTTAATTTTTATATTTGTATCTTCTTTGCTTGATATAAATACAGATACGCATCTTGTATCTTAAATTATATTTACCGTATATTTCTTCGCCTGGTTCAAACTCGGCCCGTGAAACATTAAGTGAGTATGGACAGGTGTCCATACTTTGCATCTCTAATGTACCGCTTTGTTCCCCGTGTTGCGGTATCATGGAACCACACGCATTTTGGGGTGCCCCCGTCCCAAAACCACATACGTACACGGCTACCAATGTCAAAAACACAATCACATGGCACCAACACTTAGCGTTGATGATCGTAGATACCATTGCCTTTCAGAAAAAGTTATCTTTTTGCAATCGTGTGTGTCGAACAGTAGCAGATGCAGATCTGAGTTTGTTGTATAACCCCGTTGGCTACTACAGTAGTAGCGTGCGCATATTTTGTGACGAATATAAAGGTTATTATAATTTTATAAATACATACACAATTATATGCAATTTGTTGATATTCTAGATAACGATTAGCAAATTTATTTTGAGAATCAAATCGATGATATTTAGTGGTTTCTATGAATTATATTCGTACGTATATATTACATCATACTAGAACACGTCAGACGCGGAAACATTGTCACGTGTTATTCGCGCGATAATCTCATCACACTGTCTCGATACTGTTAAGGTTTAGTGCTATATGGAGATTCCTTATCGCCACTTTTCCTGAAAAAAAACTCCATTTCACATTTCCTGTTAACGTACCAGTATATCAGAGTGGGAAACACCGCGAGACGGAGGAAGGTTACGAGGGCGTGGCCCAAAACAACTCCCGGATGTCCCATGGCGTTAGCTACTTATACTAGTACACTGGCTGCTTTAATTAAGCAACGTAAACATAATTTACCACAAACAAACTCTTTAATTGTCTGTTGACAAAACCGGCTTTATGACTTAAAATACCTAAAACTTTCAGAATTTAGGCTAGTAACACCATGGCTTGTCTTCCATTTATGAAAAAAAATCGTCAATTCGTAGATTGGTGGTGTATATAACAATGAAGCATTATTTAGTTCGATTAAGAATGTAGAACGTAGATCAAATTAATTGGTATGGATCAGACTATTCATTTCTCCCACTCTGATTTGTTCATATGCTATGATCTATCGGCCTTTAAGATCATAAACACTGAGACTGGCTTTTGTACGAGAAACACTCCCTGCATGACCAGGGACGTTCCAATAAGTATTTTGCGAATATATATCATCACCAATAAACATTCAACAGCATTTGGTACATACAAAAAAAATACTGGAAATTGAGGAAACAAAAACAATTCACTTTATGTGGTTCAACCAGATTTATGTAACATCTTGAAGCCGCTACTGACTAGATGGTAGCGTACTTGTCACTTCTCTTGACCCCTGCACAATTACTCCTCCCACACACACTGTGCGCTTTCGATTTGGTTTCCTCAGTTAGACTCATGAGTGTTTGACTATGGACGCTACGTCAAAGACGGGATGGCTGGTCATTGTGACTATTCTGTTGGCATGCACTGTACTCTATACAGCAGCGAAACCTGAGGTAGGTAAATGTTCCTAATTGAGAGGGGAACACAATAAACAACGATCACTTAAAAAGAAAGTATATGTCTTGTGGTGTGGTGTATAACCAAGGGATAGTTTTTTAATGTTGTTGTGCTACAGTTCCGGATATCGAATTCCACTGTTGTCTCTCCCGACTTTTTTATATAAAAATATAAAGTGTGAATGCTGACATATAGTGCGTTTGGTTGTATAGAGTTGTATTCAAGTTGGGGACTACGTGAGGTGACTGTGCGACCATCTTGCTGCCATAATGGCATTATGGTAATTCATTGTGCTATCCCGGTGTTAAGCAGGTCCGATCGAACACAGTCACCTGTGGATCTTAACCGAAGGTTCTTCTAATGTCGCATTCACTAATATATAAATCACATCAGTTCACTGAACTTTCCACTTTAGTCTGTGGCACATTCATAGAGGGTAATAGTCGACAATTTTGTGTTCAACTCTGGTCTTCCGATAATGAGTCCGACGCAACAGCCTCTATGATACTGGCGATCAGACCAAACAATTATAAAAGATAGTTGCTCAATTCGCCCATAGCAGTTTATGGCTTAACATTTTAGGTTGGATTATATAGCGAATTGAATGCGGTATGGCTGACATTATTTTTCAGAAAAAGTTGTCTTTTTGCAATCGTGTGTGTCGAACAGTAGCAGATGCGGATCTGAGTTTGTTGTATAACCCCGTTGGCTACTACAGTAGTAGCGTGCGCATGTTTTGTGACGAATATAAAGGTTATTATAAATACATACACAATTATATGCAAATTTGCTGATATTCTAGATAACGATTAGCATATTTAATTTGAATATAGACAGTTATGAATCAAATCGATGATATTTAGTGGTTTCTATGAATTATATGTACTCAAGCACTTACAATGTCACGTCATCGCATCATTAACATAATTCTACCTAAGAAATGAGGCCGCCCATAAGCTGTGGTTCTTCTTTCGTCAGCTAACCCTGGTTTGCAAGTTTAACATGAAATATGTTACAGAAAGGCGACTGGTCACGGTACCAACAAGTTTGTAGTACCTAATAGGTCGGACGTGTATTTATATTATAGTATCACAGAGAATGAACAAGATTTTGTATATTATGTGTGTGGTTAAAATATAACATTTCCACGGGTCGTTGAAAGCACGATAGTTGAACCATGGATATAGAGAACATATGATGTTCTACGTACTAGCATATTCTTTGAGTCTGTGTGGCTCATGTATCGTCCCAGATTGTGATCCGCATTGGGTTTAAATGTATGCACATGTGCCAATTCATCGGACACATGCGCATTTGGTTTCTCTGAACATTTTATATTTCAAACTGACGTGGCTTCTATGTTTACTGGAACTGGTCAAAGCAAATCTAATTTATTTATGTTTGAAATATTAACGGTTTTGTGCGAGCTATTTAAAAGTTCTGTTGTGAGAGAAAGACAGTTATG